AGGAAGGAAGGAAGGAAGGAAGGAAGGAAGGAAGGAAGGAAGGAAGGAAGGAAGGAATTCAGAACTGTGGGGAATAGAAAATGAGCCACTGGTTTCTTCACCAGGGCCATGCCAGGCTGTCCCACCTCCACCCTTAGAATGGAACCCGTCTCTCCAGACACTTCCCAGGGGGCTTAGCAGAGTAATCAGCCCCACGGTCACATTTCAATATCTGGGAAGGGAAAGAAAGCCTTTCAGATTTCAACATCTTTGAGAAAGATGTGACTATGCCCTGTCTTTCTGAGCCCACTCCCGGCAATTTTCTCAATTATCGCTCTAGTTTATTAAAAACCCACCTGGTGGGTGAACAGGTGGAGGGTGACTGGTGGGGGGAGGGGCGGAGCAGGAGGGGCTGCCTTCCCAGAGGTGACTGCTGCTTCTGGGTAGGACAGACATTCTCAGAGCTGCCCTTTCAAACTTGAACTATTCAGGCCAGGCAGCTTCACTGAGAAGGACAAAATGACAGTGGTGACATTTATTGCGTGTTTTCTACTGTGTGCCTGGATCTGGACCAAAGGCTTAACCTAAATGTTTCATTGATTCCCCTGGGAGAAACTCTTATTTTTCGTCATTTTCCTGATAACTGATCTTGACTGAGCAGTCAAGATCAAAGTCCCACAGCTACAAGCAGCAGACCTGGGATTCGAACCCAGATCTGTCAGTGACAAAGCTGTATTTATATAGGTGCTGAGCTCCCCTCCCCTGGCTATTGTGCCATCCTGTTCACTTGCTGTTTTTCCCATTTCAGTCCCTTTTGCTCATGACCTTGAGGCTGGGCAGGTGTTTATCTCATGTCTGCCCTCTGAGGAGACAGCCTCAGAGAGGCTGATGCACTGGCCTGCTTTACAGAGCCTCTTACCTCATGAGCACTCACATACCTCATTCAGTTCTGACCGTAGGCCCAGGACACAGGGACATCATTATCAATGTTCTGCAGACGAGGGCAGCGATGCTCAAAGGAGCTGTGTGACCTCCGTGAGGGGACACCAACTGAAAGTGGCAGAGCCAGAAATCTGACCTGAGGTCTGGGTTTGTTCACCACCCTCCTGCCCAGCCACCCCCCTGCACCAGCAAACACTGTGCACGTGGCCCAGGGCCAGGTGTGGGCCGGAAGGGAACACACTCCCACCACACTGGGAGGGTCACTGTGTGCCCAGCACCTGTGGGTGGTCCTGGCCACCCTGCTCCTCCCATCACTGACCACCTCCTCTCTCTTCCTTCCTCCAGTCCCAAGTTTTCATCGCCCAAGTCGGCCAGAACCTGGTCTCCCAGACTGAGGAGAAGCTCCTTCAGAAACCCTGCAAAGAGCTCTTTTCTGCCTGTGCACAGTAAGTGCCCGGCCTGCCTCCCTCTCTTCGTGGGCCGGGGCATCAGGCCCCTAGCCTCCTCCTAGAGCACTGGGCACCGGGGGCAGGTCTTCATCGGCCAAGGGCCCCAGCCAAGCCACCCAGCTATTTGTATACTTCTTAAGCAGGAAAAAAGATACCAGGGGGCCAAATCCAAAGAAAACATCTGCTTCAAAGGGTGTTGAAAGCAAGTGGCTCTCCAGGCTGTTGAGACAGAGGAATGTGCAAAAATTTGACCCAGTCTGGGTGGTTTGGAAATCCTTCCCAGGCCCCCCCAAACCCCACTGCTGCCACCAACCACAGCCAGGTGGCACTGCTACAGGAGGGGGCTGCAAGCTGCCTTCTCAGCCACACCCCATCACCTCTGCAGACGGTACACCGACCCTCTGGAATATGAGAAAAGTCTGTGGGTGTGGTGCCAGCCGTGTACCAATTAAGCCCCCATCCACCCCCCCACACACACTAGGAAGCTGTAGCACACACATGCATGTGCCCACACGCACTGCTCCCCACAAGCTGGCTCATGCATGTGCACAACATACCTACATGCCCATAGATGTCCAGAGCCAGATCACTCCACACACCTGGATGAGTCTGGGGCTTTTTGTGTGCCCTTGTTCAGCCTTTGCACCACAGACATTAACTGGGCACCTGCTGTGTGCCTGGCACTCTGCTTGATGCTGGGAGATGCCATGGTGAGCAGGAGCCCAGCCCCAGCTTTCACGGAGGCTACTGCCAGGCAAGGAGGGCAAAAAAGCCATCCCCCCGCCATGCACCGGGAGCACAATGCTGAGGATGGACGTTTCGGGAGGCCAGCTTAGGGCCCAGCCCTGTGTTAGGTGCTAAGGAGAGAGTGCCGTGAGCAGAATCAAACCTGGTTGCTGCCCTCTGGGAGCTGGCCGGTGATCAGATCTGACAACCAGTGAGGTCCCTGGGCTGTCACCCTGACCCTGAGGGAGTGGCCATTTCAGCCCGCCATGCCAGACCGTTTTCAGGTTTGGAAGGACACAGCCGTGAACATGCCCCTACTCTCCACGTCCCCTCCCTTCCCCAGGCCCCAAGTGCCTGGCCCAGCTGGTTGGCACTGCCACTTTTCAAAAGGAAGAATCCTATCCCTGCCTGCACAGGTTCAGAACCCTGCAGGGCTGGCCTGGGGCCAGGCCCATAGAAAGCGACCAGTAAATTCTGCTGCAGGGATGGAAGTCTCCCCATGGCTTTGCTGAACCAAATCCAGAGTCTGGGCCCTCAGGGACCTCAGCCCCACTCTACCCAACACCACCCACCATCTCGGAGTCCCTACCCCTCCCCTGCACGCAGTTAAGTCTGCTTCTGTTGTCATCTCCACTCCTGTCTCTTCTGCAGAGGGATCTCTATGACTCCCCTCACCCTGGGGCCTCACCTAACCCTAACTTATGATAACATGTCCCTATTTAATATTTGTTATTTACCGTTGTGATGCCATCCGCGTGCTCACTGCTATACCCCAGGCCTAGAGCGTGCCTGAGGCACGTACTCGGTCCATGTTTGCAGGATCAGCTGGGCAGCCTCAATAACCCTCTAGAATGATGGGGCCTCTCGACCCTGTGTGTTTGCATTTCCAAAGTCTGGAAATGGATGAGTCCGGGCGTTACCTCAGCCTGCTGGATCAGGATTATAAAATGTTTCTCTGTGTTCCTTCCGAGCCAGGTCTGTCCACAACTACCTGAGTGGAGAACCCTTCCACAAGTATCTGGACAGCATGTATTTTGATCGCTTTCTCCAGTGGAAGTGGTTGGAAAGGTGAGTGCTCCCCTGGCACACTCCATGGACGTGTGCCAATGTGTGGGGGGGTGGGAGCCAGGGGGGTGGGGGGTGTACCGGTTTTTCACCTGAGAAGTGATACGAAAATCAGTTCCCTCAAATTAAATTAACCACTCTTTTATTAATTAAGTTCTTGTGTATTCTCGAAATGCTCTGTGCTTATTAAAGTTTACTTACACACACACACACACACACACTCACGTACCCATACAGTATCTTGGCATCTGGTTCCTTTTTGGTTCACTGTCCTTGGGAATTCTTCCTCCATCAGAGAGTAAAGAGCTGCCCTGTTCTCTGAATGAGTTGTACATCCCTGATTTAACCCATTTCCCTATTGATGCACATGAAGATTGCTATCAATTTTGTGTGCAACCTTCCCTAAGTAATGAAAAACTTTGTACAAATACCTCTATGTACTTTTGCAAGTCCAACCATAGAAAGTCCCAGCAGGAGCATTTCAGGATCAAAAAGCACCGATGCTAAACTGTGAGAGCCTGTTAAGTTGCCCTCCCAAGCAGCTGCCCCCCGTTTCCAGTCCTGCCAGTGCGCCAGTGCCTGCATCCTGTCAGCTCCACTGTGCTTGTGCCTTCCCGTCCCATGCATGAGCGGCAAATTTCCTTCTTATTTATCTTTTCGTCTCTAATAACGGGTGAGACTGAGTGTCTTTTCATATTTTATTTGCTGCGTATTCTCTGCCAAGTGCTCTCAAATGCACGGCGGTGACTTGGCCAGGCAGAGGTGGCTTCCATATGACTGAAGAGGAAGGAGAGACATAGAGAGGACATGGCTTCCCTCGTCACCCAGCAGCCAAGCGGGGCCCTGGCCCAGGACTCCCGGCACAGTGCTCTGCCCACCACGTTTCAGGATTTGCGGGGCAGGGTGATGCCTGCATTAAATCCATTCGGGGCTAAGCTGGTAAACGAGGCTGGGAGTGCTCCCTGTGGCCTGGAGGCCTGGCGCTCACGGCCATCTGGGCATACTGTGGTCAGAAAGCAAGGAGCCGTCCTGCTCCTGAGTGTGTATCAGCACCTTTGCTAGCTGAGCTCCCTGCAGAAGCTCAGGAAGCTTTAGGACACAAGACCCCTAACAGTCCCATTCATGGCCCCTCCCTGCCAACTTCAGGAAGCCCAGAGTCAAACACTCTGCCCAATCAGCCGCTGGGGGGCGTTTCTCTGCACCCTGACCAATGGGAATGACAGAATGAGCAGTGGATGGCCTTCTCTGTTAGCCCTCTGACTGCCACTGGCCATCTTGCACACGTACAAGGTGCTTTGAGCAGTGGGGACTCCTACCACAGAGATTCCCAGAGGGGGCCATGTCCTTTATTCCTGGAGTTCTAATGATGACATCTGACACAGCAGCTTACAGAGAGTCTTTGGACGCAAATGCCTTTTCAATGTCTCCATTTCATTGAAGAGGCAAGGCTCAGAGAGGTTGATGGATTGACCCTGGATCACACAGCAAGGGCGTGGCAAGGCTGGAAGCTGAACTCCAGGCCTGTCACTCAACTCCTTCACCTTTCATTTACCCAACACTCCCGTTCCAATAGAATCCAGCTGTGGCCACTGACTTTCACCTCACTTGTGTGTACCAAGCACATGAAATGGAGACATGGACTTTTTAAATCTGAGAAGTTAAATCCTTTTGCTTTAAGTTGTTGAAGCCAATAGGGCAGGACCGTCCTAAGTGACTGAAAACACGCCGCCTTTCCCCGCACCCCTCTTTTTTTTTTTCTAACAAGATCATGGCCTCTTAATGCTGTACTGTTGAAATATTAAAGGGAGTCTTTCCTTCCCAAGGTTAACCAAGAAATTCCTTGGAAATTGTATTACACTTATTTCCCCTAGCAGAGGAGTTCTGCGGTCATGTCGGCCGACTGTTTGTTCCCCATGTATCGTAAACTGTTAGGCCCGGACGCCTTCATGTGGTTTCAAGGGCAGCTGTAGGAAATACTCCCAGGGTGCATGGCGGACGCTGGCGCCCGGCAGCTTTCTCCATGGCCCGTGCTGCTCGTGTGCAGAAGAAAGATACAGAGCAATGGACAGTCCGGCAGTGGGACAGCCCTGTGCTAGCAATGGGGACGGGGCCCCGCATCCTGAAGAAACACCAGGGATGAGAGAGGAGTCACAGCACGTGCATTCCAGATGGCGTGGCCTGGGGTTTCAGGGCCATCCTATCTGGTCCAAAAGCTGTGATTTCTGGTGAAACCCAAATCCTTCTCTGGACCCAACAGCCAGGAGAGTTTTTGTGGAAGATTCGTTCAAGAGCTGCCGCTGACCAGAAGCTCACAGGTCTTTCTTGGGCTGACCCAGTTCTTTGGCCCAATTCAGTCTCGCTCCAGTCCCGACCCGGGTCAGGATCTTGGGGTGGGGTTGGGGGATGCTCAGAAATAGTCCTGCAGATCCAAGAGCCAATTTTAACATAGAACTGGTTGTTTTGTTACCCATTTCATCAGTTGGTGGACATAGAAGTTGTTTCCATAACTTGGCTATTGTGAATAATGCTGCAGTGAACATGGGAGTGAAAATGTGTGTGGGGGGCGTGTATACATACATACAGAGGGTGTCAAAAAATGTATACACATTTTAAGAAAGGAAAACTGAATTAAAATGTAATACTCAATATATACCGATAACAAAAGATGACTACAAGTCACATTTGACTTCTGCAATTACAAGAGGTGCTCAAAGTGGTTGCCATCAGCGTCCAGACATTACTGATTATGGCAAACTACTGCTTGAGCAACGCTGACCAACGTGTCCACCTGTATACATTTTCTTGGCATATATACACACACACACACACACACACACACACACGCACATATACATCTCCCCACATACCCACAATGGAGTATTATTCAGCCTTTAAAAAGCAGGAAATCCTGCCATTTTGGCAACATGGCTGAGCCTGGAGGACACTTGCTAAGTGAAATGTCAGACACAGAAAGACAAATACCGCATGATCTTGCTACTTACATGTGGAATCTAAAATAGTCAAACTCATAGAAGCAGAAAGCAGAAAGGCAGTTGCCAGAGGTGGGGAGGGGACTGGGGAGATGAGACGTCGGTCAAGGGTGCAAAGCTTCAGTTATGCGGGATGAAAGTTCTGGGGATCTAATGTATAGCACGGTGGCAGCAGTTGACAGGACGGTATTGTGTACTTGAAATTTGCTGAGTGGGTAAACCTTAAATGTTCTTACCAGAGAGAGAGAGAGAAAAAGGAAGGAGGAAAGGAAGGAAGGAAGGAAGGAAGGAAGGAAGGAAGGAAGGAAGGAAGGAAGGAAGGAAGGGAGGAGGAGGTTGGGGGTGGGAGGAAAGACAGAAAGAAGGAAGAGGTAAATTATGTGAGGTGATAGGACGTTCATTATCCTGATTGTGGTGATAATTTCACGGTGTATACATATATCAAAACAGCAAGGTGTACACTGTCAATTTTACCTCAGTGAAGCTAAAAAAAAAATAAATAAAGCTGATTATTCGTAGCCAAACAGGCCAGTGGTGAAAAAGCACAAGCTATCTGCAACACAGATTCTGCATCTTAGCACATGTGCTTATTTACTCCAAGAAGTCCCATCCTTGCCTCATGGTCAGAGGTCCTGTCTGATTAGACACGATACATGGCTTTGGCTAATTAAAATGGGGCGTCTGGAGACACAAAGTGATTATTACTTCATAAATTCCGCTGTGGGCAGACAGGATCTTCTCATGTTCTGGAGCTATGGGGGAAATATAATAAAGAGGCCCTCGGTGGAAAGGTCAGGAGGCGATGGTGACAGATTGCTGAGACTAGACTTGGACAAAGGTCTTCTCGGGGGCTCTGCCAGGCCTGGGCTGGAGGAACAGGAAGGAATAGCCCCGGGCTCCTGGGGACAGAAGTGTTGCAGACCTGCCAGGCAGGCGGCGTGTGCAGGTGTGGGGAGGGCTGTGGTCTCCCCGTCCTCCCCCGGACACTGAAGCTCTGTGGCTCCGGGCCCCTCCCCCCTCCCTGCACAGAGGACACAGCTTCCTCCTGCGTGTAGCCACCTGATTTGCATTTGGGAGAGAGGGGGAACCACATGGAAAGTGCGGTCAAGCGGCTTCAGTTCACATTTTTCAAGCCTTCCGCCCTTCTGCCCTTCTCCCAGGCTGCAGGGCGTCATAGGCGGGTGGCCTGGGATTTGAACACCCAGCCCCAGAGTAAGTCTTTGAGGTCCTATCTGCAACGATGAACACTGGGGGTCCCCGGGGCCTGGTTAGGAGGGCATGAAATTGTGCCTCGCACCCGCCGCTTCCAATGCTGCCATTGTCTGTTGCTTATGGATTCTGTATCTTAATACCATGAGACCAACGTTGGATTTTTGCTTTTTTCCAGGCAACCAGTAACCAAAAACACTTTCAGGCAGTACCGAGTGCTAGGAAAAGGGGGCTTTGGGGAGGTGAGTGACCGTCTGTTTTCAGTCCCCGTTCTCTAGTCACCTTTTCTGTCCCTTCTGGATCTGCCCCCTGGTGGAGAGGGACGGGGAGGCTCAGAGCCCTCGGGAAGGTCAGATGTGTCCAAAGGGGAAGGAGAGTGTGGAGCAGTCCTCCCTGTGTGTGGCAGTGGAGGTGACATAGAGGTGCTCTTGGAGCCAGCCTCAGGCAGGGTTCCAGTCTGGAGAGGAGAAACGGGCATTCTTGCTGTGTTTGGAGAGAGACGTGAGGGCCTAAGCGAGTTGGTCAGAGGACGCTGTTTCTATGCACTGTTGTGCTTTATCCGATCTTCCCAACAGTGAGGCAAGCCTTGTTATTCCCATTTTAGAGGTGAAGAAAGCTGCAGTTCAGAATGGTTAGGTAACCCAGCCCTGGGCACACAACCAATAAGGGGCAGAACTAAGACTAGCACCCAAATGCCCTTGTTTTCAGTCCCCTGAATTATACACTTGAGCTTCTGGGGGCCTCCCATCGCTGATCCCCCAACAAGCGTCTTCCACCAGCAGCTGGGGCTTGAAAGTCCCCAGTTAGCAATGGTTGCATCTAGTTGGAAACTTAGAAAATCTAGTGGCCTGTGAGAGAGTGATGTGCTTTAGGCCCTGGCCAGTCATCTAAACATCGGCGTAAATAGCTGATTCTGCACCTTCTAGAGCTAGGATCCACCTAACGGGTGGGGAAGGGAGGGCAAGGAGGCAACGGAGCCAGATCTCGAGGGCAGGACCCAGGGCAGCCGTGGGTCCAAGGCCAGGCATTGTTGGGCCCTGTGGCTGGGAGCACCCACAAGGCCAGGTGCGGCCGGCTGTGGCCCCAGCAGTCCCCTTCCCAATACCCAGCGTCCCGGCCACGGAGGAGCTTCAGGCAGGCCTCACGTGTCCCATCTCCTCGGCTTCTTTCTCGTATCTCAGGTCTGTGCCTGCCAGGTTCGGGCCACCGGTAAAATGTACGCCTGCAAGCGCTTGGAGAAGAAGAGGATCAAAAAGAGGAAAGGGGAGTCCATGGCCCTGAACGAGAAGCAGATCCTAGAGAAGGTCAACAGTCAGTTCGTGGTGAGCGTCTGGGGCCCAGTAACAAGCCACCCTGCGGTGACCGGGGCGTCTGTCCCCGAGGACGTGGGAGGTCCTCCAGTATGGCAGCTCCCCATCCCCAGGGAGGTGGAATGAAATGAGAAGAGTGAGCTGCAGAAAGTGAGCCAGACGCTCCTCCGTCGCGAAGCGCCTCATGGTCAATTATGGCTGACTTCGTCCTGTCGCCAGAGCTAGCCTGGCTCCCCGCTGTGTGTGGGACTCAGGCCTCTGTTCTGCAGGACCACCTTGTAAACTCCTCGGTGGACAAAAGAAGCCCAGCCTGGGCCCAGCCAAGGAGCTTTGTTTCCACAGACCTCTGTAGGCTGGTTTCCTCATGGCGGAGGCCTTAGTGTCAGCATCTTGGAGAGGCGCCATCTTGTTTATGTCCTCTGTGTTTCTCCGTCCAAGCTAGGCTCTGCTGCAGTAACAAATTAACCCCAACTCACAGTAGCTGAAAACGCCAAACACTGTTCTGACACTCACGTAGAGTCCAGTCAGGCCAGGCTGCCCTCCTCCATCTTACAGCCACCCCATCTTAGTCATGGAAGTGTGCGCCGAGGGGTGTGCCCAGGGACTGTCACCGCCTCAGCTGCAGTGACACTCTCACTGCTGCCCGCAGTCCGTGGGCCAGAGTTAGTCACTGCAAGGGGCAAGCCAACTGCAGGAAAATGTGGAGGAGTATATTTGGTCAGCTCTAAACGTCTCTGCCACACATCACTACAAAAAGCAATATGTGTACAAGGTTAACATTCAAACAGCACAGCTGGGTGCAAAATAAAAACAAAAATCTTCCTCTTTTTTTTTGTTTTTGTTTAAAGACTTTATTGGGGAATTGGGGAAGGGGAACAGCCAAGTTGTCTTTCAATCTTAGTTGTGGAGGGCGCAGCTAACTCAGCTCCAAGTCCAGTCACCATCTGGCTGCCCGATGGCAGCTCGTGGCCGCTCAGCTTAAGGTGCCATGTTCAGGACCAGCCAAGTGGCGCGTTGGTTAAGAACTGGCTTGGGATGCCAGAGGGCCCCGGTTTGGATCCCACATATAAGGGCCAGTGACACTGCCCTCTACAGCTAAGATTCTGAACAACAGCTCGAGCTGGAGCTGGGCTGCCGTGGGTCGCCGGCGACGGCGTAGGCTGCAGTCCCCTGCTGCAGTGGGTTGCCATGGGCTACCGTGTGTAGCCAGCAGCCAGCTTGAGCAGCCTGTAGCCGCAGTGAGCGGCCGTCCAGAAGCCGGCGACTGATCTGCCTCTCCCGGGAAGAGCACAATGATGGTGCCAGCTTGGGCCAGTGAAGCAACATCCTCCACAACTAGATTGAAGAACAAAACAACAGTGACTTGTCTGTTCCCCTTCCCCCGATTCCCCAATTTAAAAAAAAAAAGGTGCCATGTTCAATCTTAGTTGCGGGTGGGCATAGCCCACCATCCCATGTGGGAGTAAAACCGGCAACCTTGTTGTTAGGAGCACGTGCTCTCACCAGCTGAGCCATCCCGACATCTGCTGGCAGCTCAGCTTGGGCGCAGCTCACTGGCCCATGTGGGAATTGAACCGGTGACCCTGTTGCTCAGAGCTCATGCTGTTAAGCAACTGAGCCACTCAGATGGCCCCCAAAAACCTCCCTCTTTAAGTAACCATTTCAACATGTTCGATTCATTATTTTTAGCTGATGAGATCTTATGAAACATCTTATGTTGCATTGTCTTTTCCCCTTAAAATGTAGATCTTTTTTATATCAAGACCTAGAGCTGCACCTTTTTTTTAAAAGCTGTGCACTTTTCCCCTGGTATACAGGGTAGAGATCAACCAGAACCTGTGCAGCCAATCCCCACGGATAGGAGTGTTCCTGGTTTTTAAGCACTGCAAACAAGGCTGTGATGTCCATCCTTGAATGTCCCTTTGGCACATTTCTGTGAAAGCTCTGTCAGAGGGTGTGTGCGTCTTCCATTTGGTAGCTCTCTGTGAAGGTCGCCCCAGTTAAACTCCCACCAGTTGTGTGTAAAAGTGAGAGATGCCATCAGCGTAGAGCTCTCATTATTCCCCAGAGAGGGGTGGTTATAAGATGACGCTCAAACAGGACATAAGTGTGCGTCTCTGGGTCTCATCCCAGGCTGCCCCAGCTGCCAGCCCCACCCCGGTGATGGTGCTGTGTGGGAGGCAGTGGACGAGGCTAATAGCAGCCATCATTTTGGCCCCAGGCCTCTTTGATTCTGGAACCTTCCTCTGTGCTGCCAGCCCCCTTCAATGTGGACCACTGGTCACAGTCTCAGTGCTGTAGCCCTCGTCACTAAAATAAAGGACAATGCTGGCTCTTGTCAGGGTTGGCGATATTTTCTACTCAGGGAAAGGCTGTGTGCCTGACAGATGATTAACTGTTTTTTTTTGTTGTTTTTTTTTTAATTGGGAAACTGTGTTTTTCCAGGACCCATCAGCTCCAAGTCAATCAGTTATGGAGGGCGCATCTCTGTGGCCCATGTGGGGATCGAACCAGCAACTTTGGTGTTATGAGCACTGCACTCTAACCAATTGAGCTAACAGGTTGCCCTGAGGGCCTTGCTTTTCTTGACCGGCCAGCAAGGCCACACACAGTTTTGGCCACCTAATACATACACGTGCTTTTGTGGTGTAAACACACAGACATCATCCTGGCTGGACCCCTGAAAGGGCAGGGGACCCACCTGCCCCTCTCCCTTTGCCTCCTTCCCTGGAAGCACTGAATTGGAAGGTGTGAGTCCTTCGTCAGCCAAGAGGAGCAGCTGGCAGGGCACTGTGAGGCTGTCTGGGTGCAGGGGGGTGGCATGAAGCTGCTGCAGCTGCCCTCCCCCCGCCCATCCCTCAGCTTCAAGGACCCTGAGGAGGAAGAGAGGAAGTGGGGGGCAGTTGCCAGAACCTCACGGTGTGGTGTCTTCTGTGCTCCCAGGTCAACCTGGCCTATGCCTACGAGACCAAGGATGCACTATGCTTGGTTCTGACCATCATGAACGGGGGTGACCTGAAGTTCCACATCTACAACATGGGGAACCCCGGCTTCGAGGAGGAGCGAGCCCTGTTCTATGCTGCAGAGATCCTGTGCGGCTTGGAAGACCTGCACCGCGAGAACACCGTCTACAGGTGAGCGGGCTCACCCTGTGAGTCTGAGTGGCGGGGAGACCCATCCCTGCCTTGGGTCGGTGGTCATTCCTGGCCTGGGAACTGAGGCCTGGTCACTGCCCTCGAGGGTGAAGGTGCTTGAGTTGGACAGACTCCCACCTTGGAACTGAGTAAGTGAGGTAGGTGGGCTGCTTAGGGGGCCAAATGTGACGGCCACTGGTCCCTTCCAACTCAGTGCCCGAGGAAGCTCAGTGGAGCCAGGTGGCCGTGACCTGGACGCAGCCCCAGGGAGGCCTTAGGAAGATCCCCACCACAAGCAGGCCTCCATCCATTCCATAATGCCTGACTTTACAGGACCAGGGGTCCAGGTTCTGTGAGCAGTGTCCTCCAAACTTGTCTCACAGACCCTCTCAAAGAATTATGAAACATTTCTGTGCCCTCATACATTTTAAGTACACATCTGAAATAGTCTATCATATGTTGAAATAATGGCTAATATTAATATTTTGAAATTGAATAGTGATATCACATTTTTAAAGGTATCCAGTGGAATATAATTGCTGTAGCAAATTGATTTCCACTATCATCCATCTAAAAAATGCATGAAACGCTTTAATGGTGAGGAATTTTCTATCATTTCCTCCCCCCCAAAATGTTTTTGTAAAGTAATATATTCTTTGCCTAAAAGTCTTTCCTTGATCAGCATTCAGCTCTGAAATATATGGATACATAGATTTCTTTTTAATTTCCTTTGACCATAAGGCTCTAAGTGTCAAAATAATTTCTTCTGTTGAGTTGCCATTGTAATTATGACTAGCATATTCCACTTCTAATGGGGACCCTGGGGGATTTTACACCTGGAACAGGACACCATAGTAATTAATATTCAGAAGCTGGGCAGAGCCTGGTTTTCTTCTGTCGGTTTGGAGAAGAGCTACTGATAAAGGGTAAGTGAGAGGGGAGATCCTAAAAGACCATGACAGAGCATTATGATATTAAGGACCTAGAAATTCCAGCCCATGGGAACCCCCTGGACAGCTCCCCCACAGACCCTCATCACGCACACCCCAGTTTCAAGACCTTTGCCACAGAGCTCTTGGTGGAGATTATCTTGTGAGTCCAAGAAGGTTTTCAAAACAAGAAGGAAGGTCTTGATGACATGCCCTTCCCCTGAAACCATCTCCACATCTATACTTTTGTTTTCATTCAAGTGAGAAGAGAGTCAGAACAATTTTCCTAAGAGTTGAAAAAAGAATCCTCCACTTAATTGCCTTTCACTTAAAAAAAAGGCAGCCCTCCGAATTCTAGCCTGAACACTTGCCTTGGCCTCCCGTGGGCTGGGGTTCTGGCCTGTGTCCACTGGCCCGCTGTCTTTCCAATCCTGTGGCTGCAGGTTTATTGAGACAGTGGCTCTAGCCCTTATTTGGAATTATTAACACATCAAAAGAATGCAAATTAAATAACAACAGCAAAAAAAGTATTTTGTGATGAATAACTACATACGGAAACCAATTATCACTTTGTGAGGCTGCCCACCGGATTTGGGCACATTAACCACTCCCCATGAGCACAGCTGCCAGCAGTTAAATAAACAAAACCAGTTGGTTGAGAACCAATCCTCAATCCAGATGCTGTGTATTGTTTGCCCAGTGGTGAGTTGCACAAACCATCCTATTGGCTGTTGTTTTACTCGTGGGGAGACCTTTTATTAGTAAAGCTAGCTACTTCTGCTGCTGCCTCTTCCCCCTACTGGGAATGGAGAGGTTCTCTTTCTTATGAGCATGATTGTGTCATCAAAGAGAAGAGAGACACTGGGGACCGGAGATGGTGGCCACACCTACAGCTGTGCCTTCTGGCGGTGCTTTCTCCCAGGCTGTAGCTCAGCTGGAGTTGGGAGATATACCAGGCTCCTGGGGCCCCCTCCCAAGGCGGTCATTCTCCTGGGGGCAGCCATCCTCTTCCCTACAATTCTCTGTCCCAATTCTGCAGGTGGTGCTTTGTTCTCAGTAACTTCTCTTCCTTTATTCCCAGGCCCTGCTGCCTTCAGGGCACCCCAGGGTCTCCTGAGACTTCAGGGTCTTCCCAGTCCTGGAGGGGTCTGTCACCACCCCAGCCAGAGGTATTCTCAGCCCTGGGGGCCGGCAGTGTGTGGACAGGAGCCCAACCAGCCTTTGCCTAAGCGCCTCCCTAGCCACTCTCCAGGGTCGGGAAGATACCTATGGCAAACACTGGAAGGAGAGAAATTAGCCCAAGGTTGTCTTGACCCAGAGAGAGACCAGACAGCCTGAGCCAGGAAGTGGCAGGGAAACACGCAGGCCTGGCCCAAGGGGTCCACCCAGATGCCAGTGTGCCCTTGCTGTCCAGAACACCCACACTCACAGCTTGTGATCTTTCCGTTTCAGAGATTTGAAACCTGAAAATATCCTGTTAGACGATTACGGTAAGTCGGGGAGCGGCTCAGAAGACCATTTTCCTGCTCCGTAGGTGAGGTGAGCGTCGCAACCCAAAGGGAGCAGAGAGCCTCCCAGAGACTCAGGCACCGACCCTGGGCCCACGGGAGGGCAGTGGGCAAGAAGAGGGAGGACCATGCCCTCTCCTCGGTCCTGGGGACCTGGGGACGGCAGTGGGCATGGATAAAGCTCCCACTGGAAGAAGCCACGTGGCTCAGTGGAGAGAGACGGGGTGGGGGTGGGGCAGAAAATGTGCTGAATGAGAAGCCCAGTATTTCAGAGATGCTGGGCAAATACTGAACTCTAACACAACTTCTCTGTACCTCATCTTCCTTGTTTGTAAAATGGAAACAAGGGGCTCTGCCCCGCCTACGTCAGAGGGTGGTGTCGAGGTTCTGACAAGATAGCTTGAGGGGAAATTGTTTCGTCAACCATAGCCAGCTGTGAATGTGTTAGTCATTAGTATTTGTGCATCACTGTTGTTATTTGCTCATGTGTGCACGCACGGGTGACGAGGACAGCCACAGCAGCCCCTCACGACTGTATAGCCTCTCATCCCTAAGAAATAGTTTTGACATCTTTAATCTGAGTAGATCTTCCCATCTCCACAGAGGGCAAAGGGCTGGCATCCCTGTGCCCATTTTACAGATGATAAGGTGAAGGTTGCTATGGTCACCCAGCAATATCAGTGGGGAGCCGAGAGAAGAGGCCACATCCCCCAGTGTGCCCCAGACACCAGGAAGCCCCAGATGGGGTGGGGCAAGTCATTGGTGACCTAGTGATGCTGCCGTGTGGAGGAGAGCAGGCAGAGGGCCCAGTGCCACCAGGGTTCCTGTCCCCTGCTGGTCTCAGAGCCATGCCCACCATTGTCCTCCATCTCAGTGGCTGGAATCCACATGCTCCCTTCACTCTTCCTGCCTTTGTCAGGAGCAGCTGAGCCTGGGGGACCCACACAGCTCTGGTCTGGCCGGGGCCCCTGGCATCACAGATGGGAGCATGGGCAGTGTTCCTTCCTGCAGGGTCAGATGTGGCCATGACCCCTGCCCCTGGGGGGGTCAACACAGGCGAGCTCTCAGCACTGCGCTGTCTCAGCCTCGGGGGGTCAGTCCTGGATGGGTGCGCCAACCCATCTCCCAGCCTCCAGGGGCCTGGGCATCTTCCTGTCTCGTTTCTCCAAAGGGAGAAAATCACGTCCAAGACCATCGAGGCAGAACAGGGAGTTGCCTCGGAATTGCTTTATAATTTTTCTCCTCAAGCAAATTGTTGCAAAATGTCAGAGAATCTTACATTTTTTCCATGAAGCAATCCCAGAATCAGGCCAAGACGTTTTAAACTTTGTGACCTCAGCCTTCCAAGAAGCCCATTAGAGCATTTTATGAGGCAGGTCGGCCAACATCCAGCCGAATCCAGGCGTCCTTTTGCATCTTTATGTTTTTCTCCTAAAAAGTAATGACTTACCCACATCCTCTGACACCGGACTCTCCCAAGGGTCTCTGCAGTCACCCTGAGATAGCAGATCATCGTCCCCCTCTCCTTGCAATAGATGAAAACACAGAGTCCGTGTACCTTGCACAGGGGCACACGGCAAGTCTGTGGCCCCGCCCAGGGTGGGAGTGGGGGTGGGGGCCAAATGTACCTCCCACTGACCCTGCTGTTCCCCTTCAGGCCACATTAGGATCTCGGACCTGGGCCTGGCCGTGAAGATCCCTGAGGGAGACCTGATCCGCGGCCGGGTGGGCACCGTCGGCTACATGGGTGAGGTTGAGTGTGGCCCCTGCCTGCGCCCACCCTTCGGAGTCCCTGCTCTCTTCGTGCAACTCTGATCAGAAATGGACTCTCTGTGGGAGGTGGGAGGTCTTAGCCAGGTTGCAGGGGAGCGTTGGGTGTGACCTGACTCAACTGAGCTCTCTGTAACCCCCAACCCCAGCCCCACCTGTGTCTCAAGCCAAGCCACTCTTGGAGTCAGTGGCCAGGGGCGGCACACAGCGCTGCTTAGAAGGAGACCGAGTTGAAGAGGGGGTCCAGTGGGTTGGCGGACAGCCTTTCAGTGAGAGCCTGAGAGGAGGGAGGTCATTAAGACGGACTCAGAAAGGAGAGGAACACACCGCCCTGTGTCACCAAGCATGATTCTAAGTAGAGACCAGCCTTGGGTTCCCTGCCCTGCCTCCCCTGAGGCTACTCTGAGACCATCGTCCTGGGGCTGCAGGGAAGAGACCTAGAGCTGCATCCAGCCCCCTGGAACCCCCTTCCAATTAGGGGTGGCCCCTGGACTTCTTCCTGCACACCTCACACACATGTGTTCACTCACCTCAGCGGGGAGGGGGCTCCAGAAAGCTCTGGGGGCCAGGGATGTCGTTGGCCTCTGCCACACTCATGCCAACAGCACGTGCACAGGATTCTGTATATTGTGGTGCTAGAGGGTACTTTTCAGAACGCATGACATTTGGGAACTTGTGGGGTTTGTTTCTGTGTATATGTGACTGTGTGTATACACATGCAAATGCTGATGGATGGATGGAAGATAGATAGATAGATAGATAGATAGATAGATAGATAGATAGATAGATAGATAATAATGGATGGAGAGATAGATGACTGACAGATAGATCTATCTGCACCTTTGTATTAATACATGTCTGCCTGTGCACCTGTGTCTGTCTCGTCAGCACAGTGTGGCATGCGTCTGTCTACATGGTCTCTGTTGTACACATACCAACACACGTGTGTGTGCATTTGCCTCTGGATACGTGTGGCCTGCCTGATGACATGAAATTATCTTTTTTGCACTTCTATGATGAATCTATCAGTCATTTTATCAAAGTAGTAGGGAAGCCATAGTAAGGGGCTGTTTGAATTCCAGATAAATTTAAAATCCTCTTTAATTTGGGTGAACATAGCTTCGTTCATTGATACACATGCATTTATGCAATACCCACTATGCACCAGCTGTCATACCTGTTACTGGGACACAGCGGTGAATAAAGCAGCTCACATTTTGGATTTTGGGGAAGACATTTAAGGAGCAGTCTGTTTCCATCCACTGTGGTCAGGCTTCTAAAGCCACAGACAGAGTCCTGTGGGAACACGGAGGAGAGCAATCAGGGTGGGCTCTTTGGAGGAGGTGGTGTTTATCAGTTGGTGAGTAGGAGTCGGAAGGGGGAAACTGTCCCAGCCGTGAAGCACAAGGCTTCAGAGGAACATTATCACTCCTGGGAGCAGGACGTCTGGCTGGCGTGAGTCACGGCCCTGGGCCCAGGAGCCTGCGCTCTGTCCGGCCTCCAGCTGTCTCTCACCTCTCCTCGCTCTCTCCTCTGCCCGCAGCTCCGGAGGTCCTGAACAACCAGAGATACGGCCTGAGCCCCGACTACTGGGGTCTGGGCTGCCTCATCTATGAGATGATCGAGGGCCAGTCGCCGTTCCGAGGCCGCAAGGAGAAGGTGAAGCGGGAGGAGGTGGATTGCCGGGTCCTGGAGACCGAGGAGGTGTATTCCCACAAGTTCTCCGAGGAGGCCAAGTCCATCTGCAAAATGGTGAGCTCCTGGTGAGCCAGATGCTGCCCGAGGGCCAGGCGTCCAGTGGCGCTTCCCCTCCCCGCTCCCCGCGGAGAACAGCGAACGGGCTGAGGTGGACGGGTAGGGGACGCTAGGGTGCGGGCAGTGAGGCCAAGCCGGAGGAGCCGGCACTCCCTGCTGTGGACTGGGGTGGTTGGCGAAGGCTCGGGGTGACGGGTGGCGATATTTTCAGTCTTTGAATATCTTATAACCCAGTTTCCCATCTACTAAGTGGGATGCTGGTCACACCAACCGGCATGGCAACATCAATAGGTACCGTATTTGCCGGCGTATAAGACGATTTTTTGGCCCTGAAAAATATGCCTCCAAGTGGGGGGTCGTCTTATACGCCAGGTACACTTCAGATAGACTGCCCATAGTGCTTGCCCCGTGCCATAGTGGCCTCCCGATGCCCGCCCACTTCATTCCACATACCGTTCAGGCATCAGCAGCGCTGCTGGGTGTATGCTCGGCTGTTATGCGATTTTGCTGTTATGCGATTTTACCACACTCGCAAAATTGCACACAGCCGACCATACACCCAGTATGATAGCGCAAAATCGCGAATCGTGATTTATGTATATGTTTGATTACATACAGCCTTGTGACAGTTTTCCTGCATGTCATAAGCATTTGAATATAAATATAAATGTTGAAATCAAATCTGATATTGTTTTACCTTTTATTTGGTGTGTGGAAGGTGTGCGGAAGAGGGGGTAGTCTTATACGGCGAGTATATAACAAACTCTGTATTTTGAGTGGAAATGTTAGGGGGTCGTCTTATACGCCCAGTCGTCTTATACGCCGGCAAATACGGCAGTGAGATTTGACCCATCCAGGCAGGGCGCACGTTAGGAGTGATGCTTAGCCAGGCTGGGTGGGCGGGGCCAGATTGGGAGCTGGGAAGCCGGGCAGAGGAAGAAGTGACAGGAACCATCAAAAGTGGGGCTGGAAGCACCCCAGACCACTGCCCTTCCCTTCAGCCCAGGCGGGCCCACCCCTGGCCCGCGGCCTTGTAGGGGCATGGCCACTTCCTGCTCCTGCCTGGCTCTTAGGCTCCCAAGTTCTGCTGTGCCCCTTAGGGCCCGCCTCTCTCTGGTGCCCAACACAGCTGTGCTGGCACCCACACCACAGGCAGCTGCCCTCCAATCCCAGCCACACGGGGACGGGGGGCCTGAGTGTCCCGTCTGCACACCTGTTCACAGACTCCCTCTCCCGAGCACTGCTGCGCCCGAGCAGCGGGCGGGCAGCTGGGACCCCCGCCTCGGAACTGTGTGCATGAGCAGCTAGGCTGGAGTATACAGAAAGCAGGCGTGAGAGCGGAAGAAAAGTAGCAAAGCTTCTGCTGCTAGAAAACCAGAGGCTGCACTGCTGGGGGCCCAGGAACCATCTGGCATAGCTGCCCGTCCCCAGGAGGCCCCTCTCCTGGATCCGTCCATCCTCTGCTTGACCGCTTCCTCTTACCAGCTTCGGTCTGACGTCACAGAGCCCTGGGAAGAAGGACTGGGGCCAGAGCTGCCATCTGACCACTCTCAAAAAAAGAGGATACACAGCTCTGTCATTTGCGTGTGTGAGAGACACTGAGGGAGGGACAGCAGGTACACATGCAAACACACACCCAGACTATGTGGCCCATGGGCCAGCCTGTGGCTGAGCACTTGCCTACATGCCCGAGGCCTCCGAGAGAACGGGTAGTCAGAGCAGCCAGAGCGGGGTGGGGACATGGGGAAAGCAGGGCAGAAAGAGGCAGGTAAATGGAAATACGGGCTCCGAGGGATGTTTGAAAGCTGCGGGTGGGGAATGCCAACGATACTTGGTTGCGTCAGCCAGGGTGAGTATATACCCAGTGGGACCGAACTAGGCGAGGGATAGAAGGAGGTCAGGGCATCATCAAATGTCCCAGGTCAGGGTCGTGGATTCAGAGAAGTGGGTCTTAAGAGACCCCAACAGGGACATGGAACGTGCTGAGAGGCTGGAGAGGCACAGAGGGCTTCCCAGGCTGCAGTCACTCTCTTGGGCACCTGGCTTTGGGGCCCCAGGACCAGAGGCGCTGCTGTCCCTCTTCTGCCCCCTGGTGGCCGCTGATGGAAAAAGCTGATGGAGCCCGGGGCTGCAGGTGGACCTGGGACTGTGGGTGCCAAGTGTCAAACCAACATCCCCTCGTCTTTCTCAGCCAGAAGAACTGCGGGACGCCTCTGGTCTTGCTCCATCTTCTTAAAAATGACCCTGGGGTCTTGGGATTCTGGTCCTGGGCTTCCTCTGTGCCCTTAACCACAGCCTGACTGGTCTGGCCTCCAGGCTTGGTCTCTCCCCTCTGACGGGTGCTGGCTCAGGACACAGCAGGGCCTGACTGTAAGGAGACCATGGAGGCCCTGGGCAGCTCCAGCCCTGCCTGCCCAAGAAAGCCTCTCCACAAACAGCCAGGAAGCTGGTCCTTGGTCCCTAGATTCTGTCCCCCATTCCACTTGGGCAGCCACAGGACCCTCTCCACTGCCCCTGGGGTCCTGAAATTCATGCCCCTCACTGCCCTCTCCCCTGAGCCAGCCCGCAGGCCCAGGCCTCAGCGCCCACCTTCCTTAGGCCCCTGCTGAGTCCCAGCCCCGACCCTCCCCCACCTGCCTCCAGCTCCCAGCCTCTGGCGCGGCAGCCATCTCAGCCTCACCTGTCCTTCTAGACCACAGCTTGTCCTCTGCCTCCAGGAAGCTCACTCTGCCTGCCCCGCCTGCCCCGGCTCACGGCGCCTCTCCCTCTCACTGCTGGTGTACACCTGGTATCGTAGTTGCAAACACGCAGCATGTAGGTAGATGTTTAGTTCAGCCTACACAGTGTTTTGGAAAGAGGTGAATGGTGGGTTAATTACCAAGATTTAAAATTGGAGCGATTTCACACAAAAACCTGAATTTCCTGGCTTCTCTTGATGAAAGCACTGGCCGACATTCCTGCCTGACGGGAGTTGATAGGCAGCCTGGCACGGCCCAGTTCATCACTTGTGTGTGTGTGTGTGTGTGTGTGTGTGTGTGTGTGTGTGTGTGTGTGTGTGATCTCTCTGGCCAGCCCTGGCAGGCTTTGGGGTCTGAGGCCAGGAGGTCCAGTCCCACGTGAGGAGCCTGCGTCTTTGGGATTTGGAGCTCGGGCCCAGCACAGCCCAATTCCCAAAGCTTTTGTGGGAAGGTGAGACCCCGGAGGAGAGAGGCTGAGGCCCTGAGCTGCCAGCCCACTGGCTGAAACACATCTTGGTGGTCAGTGGACCAGAAGGTGACATTGGGCTCACGGCTTAGTCCTGTCCTGGCTGTGACGTGGTGCTTGTCCCACCGCCATCTCTGAGTCCTTTGTTTTGGGGTAGGGGCAGTCCCCAAGCGCCTCCCCTCTAGACCGGGAGCCCCAGGAGGCCCACCTGCCTGCTGGCCCTCCACTGCGCCCCCAGCCCACAGGCCAGCTGGAAATGTGTATGGAAGGCCCGAGCACAGCAGGCACCAGGGTACTGGTGACAGAAAGCACTGGACTCCTTCTGAGGTGCAGGCTGCCCACCTTGATTTTACTTTCAAAGCAAACAGTAGATTCCAACAGTGTGCACGATGCAGTGCAGTGAGGCAGGGGCACTGGGACTTCGGGGGAGGGGCCTCGGCCCTGCAGACTCGTCTGGCTGCTGTCCTCCATCATCCGCCGAGGCTCAGCCCCCCCACCTCATCTGCCTTCATCCCACCTGGCCTGGCTGTCTGCTGTGCCGCCTTTGCCTCTCCCAGCAGCCCTCCTGCCTCTTGCTTCCAGTGAGGACACTGCTACCCCAATCTCCCTGGCTCCTCACTACCTCCAGATTAAAATCCCACCTCCAGACTGGCCCGCAGGACCCTCTGTACCTCTTCCAACCAGACCCCTTCACACTGACTGGATCCCACACGCATCCTTCACGCAAACTCAAAGACGGGTGGTCCCCATACACACGCTGCGTGCCCCTCCAACTGGTGTCTTCACCCTCCCCCCTTTTGAAAACCTATTTGTCCCTAATGTGCCTTCCCCAGGAAGGCCTCTGACCCCCCAGCTGGCAGCCAGTTTGCATTCCTCTGACCCCATGGTGTTGCATCTCTGTTGCCTTGATGGGTCCTGTAAACATGATCTCACCTTCCTCCCCCCACCCTCACCACAGTGGTTTGCACTGAGGAGGTTCAAGCCAGCACTGTACTTGTGAGTTGCGTAAATGAATGAGAGACATACAGATAGGGCCCTTGCCCTTGCAGCTTACCTGTATCAGAACAGGTACCATGAATTCAGCAGACATCAGTGGGTGTCCCATACGCACCAGGCACTGGGCATGCAGCCGGGGGAGACACAGACAGCATTGCCGCTGTGCTGGAGGCAGCAGGCCTCTCAGCACGCTGTGGGTGTGGACACAGAGCTCGCAGTGGCTCCGGAAACCACCCTGAAACCAGGCCTAAGCAGGCTCAGGCCGTGTCCTTTGGGTTCCTGGGTTGCCCAGGCTGGAGAAGGCAGGAGAAGGGACATCTGGGAGGCGTGGGGACACACCTGTGAAAGGGAGGTGGTCACAGGCTCCCCGCAGCCTCTCTGCTCCTGGAGGAGGCAGGGCCCACCAGGCATGGCCCCATGGGTGTCTCTATCTTTTCGCAGCTGCTCACCAAAGATGCAAAGCAGAGGCTGGGCTGCCAGGAGGAGGGGGCTGCAGAGGTCAAGAGACACCCCTTCTTCAGGAACATGAATTTCAAGCGCTTAGAAGCCGGCATGTTGGACCCCCCCTTCATTCCAGACGTGAGTAGCCTCCCCCAGCCTGGACTAAGTCTGCACACTGGTTCATGACCTTCAACTTCGCTGAATGGCCGTGCTGGGCCCCAGGCCAGGGGCTGAGGGGACCCGTGGGCAGGGGGCAGCCTCCAGTAACAAACATGTTGCCAGGTCTGGGGGTCCCTCTGCACCCACCCTGGAGTCATCACCTCTATGAAGCCCTCATCTCCAGTCCCCCAGGCTCCCAGAGCCCCTGGGAGGCCTCTCCCACCAACTTTGAGCTCCTGGAGGGCAAAGCCCGGCCAGGCTCGTCTCCGTGAGTCCTGGCATAGGGCAGCCCCCATTGCATGTTTGATGAGCAAGAGGTAAAGATATTGCTGCCGTAACAGTAGCAGCTCGTGGTATCAGTTACAACAGCCCCAGCTGTTTTGCAGGTGAGGAAACAGGCCTATGGGGGCTATGTAACTTTCCCAAAGTTCCTAAGCACTGCAGCTGGGACCCCAGCCCCCGGCCTGTCTGGCTGCAGAGCCTGGGTGCTGCACCCCGTGCTGTGAGAAGGGGCCAGGAGGTCCTCCGGGGACATCCCCTATCGCTGCAGGTTCCCAGTGAAGCAGTGTCTCTGGCACCCTGCCTGGCCCTGGGAACCAGCATTCTTTCTCTCTATGGAGGATTGGACCAGAGCCCCAAACTGCCAGCCCTCATTCCAACAGAGATGACTTCGGAAACATTTCCACCATCCCAATCCTGTGGGCTTTAGGGAGAGAAAGAATATGTGACAGGGGAGTGGGGATCCCCAGGGGTGCCAAGGAGTGTGAGCTTAGAAACGTGTGTTCTGACTGCCCCCCACATCCAGCCTGGAGAAAAACATGGGGTGACCTGTGGCATGTGGGAGGGCATGATGGCAGGAAGGGGCCCTGGACACCTTGAGCTGTTGTTTCACCCTGACGGGTCCCCTGGGCGGATCTGAGAGAGGGCAGCACACACTTCCGATGTGTGGGGTGGCCTCGGGCAGATGCCCTCTGCTCCTCCATCAAGACCCCAGGCCTGGCTGGGGGACAGCGGAACGGTGGGTGGGGCCCCGTGCGACTGAACCCTCTGCCCCCTCAGCCCCGGGCTGTATACTGTAAGGACGTGCTGGACATTGAGCAGTTCTCCACTGTGAAGGGCGTCAACCTGGACCACACGGATGATGACTTCTACTCCAAGTTCTCCACCGGCTCCGTGCCCATCCCCTGGCAAAACGAGGTGAGCAGGCCGGGCGGCCTCGCCCTGGGGGCGGGGGTGCCATGAGGACAGAGAGGGGCTGCTGGGTCAGGCGGCCTCGTGGCCTGGACTAGGGCATCGTGCGGGGTGGGGTCAGAAGGGGGAAGAGGAGGGGGACAGACATGGCCGGTCTAGATGACTCTTGAGAAGTCTGGCTGGGAAGGTAGAGAAACATGGAACAGTGGCTGGAGGCACAAGTGGGATTGAGTTGGGGGACTTAGAGCTGGGTCGAATGAGATAGAAATGATGGGGCAGGGAGGAGGCTGAAGCCCTGAAAGGGGGAGGGCCCAGAGCATGTGGGGTGACCTGGGCCTCACTGGGGGGGAGGAGGTGGGCTGTGGGTTTGGCGGTGGATCTCGTCTGCCCTCTCAGTGCGTGAGAAGGTGCGTGCGAGGCCGTTGGGGAGAGGCAGTGGGCAGGCAGGAGCCGTCTGGGTCTCGGCCCTGGTAAGACTGAGGGCAGGCGGAGGACCTGGTAGGACCGGGCTCAGGGGACGGTGTCAGCCCAAGGCTCGGCGCTGGGGTTCTTTTCCCCCAAGATGATGGCCCTGGCCCTCACACCACCCATGTTTTTGCACCACTTCTCCAGATGATAGAAACAGAATGCTTTAAGGAGCTGAACGTGTTTGGACCCAACGGTACCCTCTCGCCAGACCTGAACAGGAGTCACCCACCAGAACCACCAAAGAAAGGGCTGCTCCAGAGACTCTTCAAGCGTCAGGTGAGAGGCTGCCCTCCCCCCCACCCCAGCCCCGTGCCCAGTTGTCCTGGCCTCAGCCCCGGGGACCCGGGGACCCTGGCCATGCCATTGAGAGCAGAGCTGCAGATTTCCACCTACAGGTGGGGCTCGGGCGACTTGGGGTCAGCAGCAACTGGAAGGGACAGGCAGCCAGTCTGAAGCCCCCCAAACCCACTGGCTGATGGGACCCCTAGGGTGGAAGGGCAGGGCCAGTCACAAGTGTATCTTTCATCGGGGTTTCTTCACTTCAGCACTGTTGATGTTTGGGGTTCTTTGTCGTGGGGCTGTATTATGCACTGAAGGATATTTAGCAACCTCTCTGACCTCCACCTGCCAGATGCCAGGAGCACCTCACTCCCTACCCCACTCTCCTTGTAAAATGTCTCCAGACAATGTCCCGTGGGTGCGGAATTGCACCTGCTGGAGATCCACTGCTGGGTCAGGACCTGGGTCTGGAGGGAGAGAATGCGAAAGGCGGCTAAAAGCAAGAGGGGCTCTGGTCAGCAGCGCCTGGCCCACGGCCCTATTTCCAGGTTCTGAGGCCCCTGTGATGTGTGGGCCGCAGGGCCTGTTTCTACAAGGACTGACTTGCTTTCTCTCTCCCCATCTCTCCCCGCTCACACCCCACTCCCAGCATCAGAACAATTCCAAGAGTTCGCCCAATTCCAAGACCAGTTTTAACCACCACATAAATTCAAACCATGTCAGTTCAAACTCCACTGGAAGCAGCTAGTTGCAGCTTGGTCTTGAAGTCCACGGTGGGACCAGCCTAGACCCTTCTCCTTAGAAGCGGATCTCGTGACCGGTGGAGCTTCTGCTCTGGCTGGGCGGCCGGGGGAGCCCCCGAGGAGCCGGGGAAGGAGGCCGTCACCCCCTCGACGCAGAGCCTCCAGGCTTCTCAAAGCGATTTCCACTCAGGTCTGTTTGCAGAGGTGGCCCTCGAGCCGGGGTGGACTGGATTTGTCTCTGTCGGACTTTGCAATAGAAATCCAATTGGATACGACGACTTGCACGTATTTTAATAGCGTCATAACTAGAACTGAATTTTGTCTGTATTATTTTTAAAGAAAAGTTTTGTAAATTTCTCTATTGCCTCAGTTTACATTTTGTATATTTGTATTTAAATGAAAGTCAGACTCTGAGGGTGTATATTTTCTGTGCAGCCACTGTTAAGCCATGTGTTTTCAGACATTTTAGAGGGGGTGGGGAGATTAAAAAAAAAAAATGTGACTCAAGACTTCCAGAGCCTCAAATGAGAAACGTTTTTATTAAATGTAGAAAATGATTCACTTTTCACCTTTAAAAGGATTGGTTGTATCCATCTCTCGAAGCTTTCCCTCACATTGGTGTCACCCTTCTGTTGGCTTGTAAGAACCGGAATTAAGTGCTCCGAGACACTGTTGGGACTTCACCCCCAGCCACAGCGTCCTTTACTAGGGCCGTGGGGTTTGGGGCCCGCTCCAGCAGGACGTGCCCTGTTCCCGCAGGGGCACACGGGGCCCTTGTTGCTTTGGGTCGGCCTCCTTCCATCTGAAAGGCGGCAGGTCTGTGGAGCCCCGTGTCTTCAGCACAGTGGTCTCTGGGTCTCTTTCTTTCTAAGCAGGTTCTGACTGCTAAAGCCAGCGTGTTTTCAAGAGGCTTGTGTGTGGGATTTTTGTTTCATTCTATTTTTAAGAGAAGCATCACGATGATAAGGAGCAGTGACAGAGCCCCAAGTGTCCCAAACCTTTATGGCCCATGGGAGCATCAGGGAGTGGGGTCAGTGGGTTATCCTGGATGAATCTGTAGAGGGGAGGTGGGCTTGCCCAGGGACTCTGGGTGCATTCCTTAAGTGTTTATGAGGTCACAGGGTCTCGAGAGCTTCCCAGGGCCCGCAGATTCATTGGCCCAGGTGGCATGGATGGGTTGGCTCTCCAGAAGGCCTAAGGAGAGGTTGGGCCACCAAAGAAGCTCAAGACAAACTCACTGTCACCTCCTGGGAGGGTGGGGCATCTTAAGGAATTGGGCACAGGTAACCCCAGGAGGACTTGGGGCCTTTCCCAGACCAGGGCCTCTGAGGGCTGTCCCCAGGCTCTTAGAGCATGGCCATCTAGTCCCAGGGAGCCACTGGCCCCCCTTACTGCTTCTGAGAGGTGACAGCAAACCCGCCCTTGTCTCCCCTCTGGGACAGGATAAGAGGCTCACTTCCCCTGCTCCTCTGCCTGGCTGAGTCCCTGGAGACGGAGTTGGCCTCAGTCAGACCTGGTCTCAGCCACCGGGAAACTGCCAGGGTTTCTCCCAGTGCGGGCCCTGCACTCATAAAATGCAGATTCACCCCAAACCTAGGCGTCTGCATCTTTTGAAAGCTTGCCAGGTCATCCTGACGCACCCTAGGCCATTCGTGGGACTGTAGATGTGACCACCCCAAACGTATTTCTCTAGGTGACCCAGGCAGCTTTGGGCATGAGCTTCTGCGGGGGGACAGAGCAGTGAGGGTGTCAGCCTTGTGTCCCAGTTTCCATGCTCTTTTCCTAAACGTTACCAGTGGTCCTGGAGTATCATTCTCGAAAGCCTGACCTTTGGGACTGATCATTTTGAGGTTATTTTTATGAACAAACGGGAGAGAAGAAACAGCTGGCCTTCTCAGGTCCCTTTAATGGGCAGTATTCTTTTCTTCAGGACCAGCTCTGGTCTTACAAGGCTGCCTGCATTACCCTTCTTGGGCTGAATACAAGATAAATACAAACAGCTATCTTCGGTTTTTGCCAAGAAGGGGACAGCCCCGTGACCCCAACCTCTTTTAAGATCCCCAGGCTCTTGCTGACCCTCCTTTCTTAGTGACAAGAAGGACGGTCATCGTCCTGGGACAATCACCAGCCCAAGCCACAGCCCCCCTGTCCAGCAGTTTCATTTATTTTGTCCAATTAACAGCAGCCCAACCCTTACCAAGTGGACTGGCATTGAGAGGCCAGTCTCTTTTCATGCCTCAAAGCCAACACACTGTCCATTTGCAGTAGAGAGTCCTCAAGGAGAGAGAAAGAAAACATAGATCTATTTAGTGTACTTCTATGTCGTGGGAGCTCAAATGATGCGACAGCACGGGTCCTGTGCGACTTAAAATAACTGGAATCTTCCTTCACGTTCGCCAGTCCCCTGCGAGTGCCCATAGGACATAGGGTCAGAGGTCCTGGCCTTGTCAAACCTATTCTTCCTTTTGGCCCATTGCTTTGTACAAGAGAAGGGAAGTCTTAATTTAGAACAGTGCCTGAAAATTCGCCCTCCTCTCACCAAGTCCCCAGGTCCCCATAAATCCTGTCTCTGACCCTTCTCCCCTCCCCCCCCCCAATTGCTTCTACTCCAACTTGTTTCCTATAACTGCATTTTTAAAGGTATTTTTTTATTTAAAAAACCACCTTCCCACCCATCCATCCACCTGTCCAGGACGAGGCATATTTGCACAGTGAGTGGATTGAAATCTTTTTACCGCAGCTGAGCTCTTCACAGAGAGCCTGTCTCTCTCCAAGCCTGACATTTCTCTCACCGGATGTTCACTGACTTCGTGCCTTTGAAGTGAGACGCAGGGCCTTGTAGAAGCGTCTCTGCTTCCCCTTTCCGGAGCCGAGCCGCTGTCCCTGGTGGGACAGCAGTGGTCTCTGCCGTGATCACCGTGACCGACGAGTATCTATCAAGCCCCCCCAGGGGTTCTCATCGCATCGCCCACAGCATCACCCTTCATGGAGGATGGCGCCACATCCCACACCAACTCCTTCTCTACGCTTCGCAGGCCGGGACCCTCACTTCCTAAACCATGAGCTCTGAGCTGCTCACTTGCACAGCCGCGAAGTGTCGCTCTGTCTCGAGCAGCCCAGGAAGGTATGCTTGTTTCCTGAAAGGCCCTGCTCTTAGCAACAGGGTGGGTGGGTGGAAGGGAGGCCGTGCTGCACAGAAGGAAGTGGTGTGGCCTGGTTATATGCACATTTAACACGCAGCCCGCTGGGATGCGTGGCTGTGAGTCCTGGGGACAACACCTTAGCATTAAAGGCGCATGTTGGATGTGGCCGCCTGCCCTTGAGCCTAGCAAGCTCAGATGAGGCTGAGGGCCTGCCCTCCGAGAAGCTGGGGGTCTCCATGCCTCTCCGAGGACCGCAGCCCACCGGGCAGCTCCTCTTTATTCTTTCACACTCATGTCCTTTCCCGAAAGGCTCGGATCAACGGTTTGTTTCTCACCGACTTTCTCATGTGAGCTGCTGACCCTGAGCTCAATATGGAGGGAGCACCGGGGCCTCCATGAGCCCAGCACCCCAGGCCTCACCAAAGGGAACAGTGGCCTAGTAGGCAACCGGAAGTCCACTGAGATGATGACGAAACACCGGCCAGGGTGACATCGGCTGTCTGCAGGGGCTGCTGTGTGCTGAGAAGCCCTGTGAGCACTTGTACCTTGCCCAAGGCCACCCTCTGAGATAGGACCTCCTGACTTAGTTGCCTTTGTTATGGAAAGAGAGTGTGTGAAGTCTTTGTGCATTTTGAAGTCACAGAGCCATCAGTCATGAAGAGTGGAGAGCTCACTTCTTTCTGGTCACCACGGACCATGGCAGTGAGGACCATGGCAGTGACGCCTCGTCGCTGAGGCCTTTTCCGCACCTGCTTCCGGAACCAACCCCCCAGGTTCAGAAGCCCAGCTGTGCAGGTCAGACCCTGCTCGGGCGTCTCTCGTGGCCTCACTAAAGGCTTGTGCTGCAGACTGTGGTTAAAACACGTGGAAAGCTAGCTCTCCTTAGGAGGGAAAGACACTTCCCCAAAGAAGAATCTAGATGTCTTTCCTGGTCCATCAATAAGTCATTGTTGTAATAGATCAAAAGCAAATGTTCCCCATAGAAGAGGTTAGTGGCTGTCGGTAGTGTTAAAATCATAATCCTAGTATCCAAAGGCTTCTATTCTTTTATTTTTTTTTTCAGGGAAATTTTAACATGGGTGAATGAAAATAATTCCATTTGGAGATCATTCCTGAGGATAACAGCTTTTGTTCTCCTGCTGCTCTGAATCTTTGTATGTTCCGTCTAATACGTCACAGTGCTGCTGTATCTAGATCGAACCACTGTTGTTGTTGTTTTTTTAAGAGAAATAAATTCCTTAATGAAAATAACTGTACTTCTTTCCTTCTGCCGAGCTATTGTTCTGCTCCTTCTGTGTGTGACAGTCGCCCCCCAGGATACCAGCACCTGCGGGCTTTGAGTTAGCCCTTCACTCAGGTGGATGGTTCAGCCCCACCCAGAGCTGGCTCGCACGCTGACCTCCCCACAGATGGCCCAGCTCCAGTGGGCGGGGCTAAGGGTCCCACCTGAACCCTGTCCAGGTTGATTGGCTGTGAGCTCAAACTCAGCAGATGGCCCCAGAAGTGCTCCAGCCACCTGGCACCAAGCAGAAGCCTGGTGAGAAGCCAGTGTTGGCACCCAGACATCAGACAGGGCATTCGTACCCCTACCTGGTGTGTTTTGCGTGACAGAGGCTGTGTTTTTACTCTGAGGTAGGCTGTGCAGAGAGGAGTTCTTCTGGCCTTTACCCAGCCAGCCACATGCTGGAACTGGGTAACCAGCAGAGCGGGACACCGAGTGCCTGAGCCCAGGGGCCCAATCTAGGACCTGAGGCCCCTTCAGTCCCCCTCCCACCTGCTCGGCTCAGCGGTAGAATGAGAAAGGCTCTAGGCTCAGGAGGCCACCCCTTACTGACTGCATGATGTGAGTAGCCCCTGAACTCTGAGCCTCAGGGCCTTCGTCAACAAAACGAGATGCCTGCACAGCAGTGGCTCCTGGAGGACTCAGAGGGAATATGTGTGGTTCCCAGCGCAGAGCGTGTCCCCAGCGGACACAGGCACCCTGCTTGTCTCTGGACCTCTTTTGATCTTTGACCTCAGGACAGGCGGGGGTCCTAGACCCACTCTCATCTCACGGTCAGCCCCTCCCAGAGCTCGAGTCATTTCCAGCAGGCGCTTGGGGTGGGGGGCACCCTGAGCTGGGAGTCAGGGCTGCAGGCTTGTTTTTGCATGACTCCTGGCCAGGGGTCTGGAGCCTGCCTCACACAGAAGGTAGGAATTGCAATCATTTCTTACCCTTGGCTCCCAGAAGCAGGTGCTTTTCCTAATTAGAAAAAAGAAATGAGAAGGAGTCCGCTACCGGGGGGCTCTGAAACTGAAGAGAAAGGGGGGCTGGTTAGCAATGGGGGTGCAGTGGAAGCAGGTGAGACTCAAAAAAGGCCTCTCCTCCGCTGAAGGGCTGAGGGAACCCACAGTGAAGGGTTTGCTGACAGTGAGAGACTTCACGAGGAGAAAATGGAGGGGCGGGAGAGAGAAAGCACTCTGACCTCTGAGCAGGTATGGGGAGGACCCTCCCTGTTCTCTCGGTGGCCCCAGTGTTTTCTCTGGAACCTTCTCTCACTCCTCCCAAAACCTCCACTGCCTGAGCCAGCCTCCCAGGCAGACAGAAGCCACCGTCCCCCTGGGAAAGAAACTCCAGCCCCACAGCACCAGCCCACCCCACCGTTTACACCCCTCTACTCGGCTGCTTCAGCCCCTTCTTTTACAGATGGGGCAGGTGGCATCCACCCTTCACCTCCACCCACTCAGGCCCCTTCCCTCCTCTCAACTCCTGACAGCTGTGGATTTCGTGGGAGCGCCAAAATGGTCTGCAAGTAACTCATTTTCAAGAAAGGCTTAAAGTGGGCATCCCCGGGGCACTAAGGAGCTTCAAGCCACTCTCCCTCTGGGGGGGCCCACAGGGGTGTCAGGATCTCCCTGCAGTCCCTGGAGAGGAGGGACAGTCGGGGCCCTCAGGAACAGGTGCTCAAACTGCAGTGGGGCCGGGCTCCTGGTGCCACGCTGCCCAGTAGTTCCTCCTGCCCAGTCTGGACCAGTTGTCCTGTTGGGAGGGGCAGGTGGAGGGGGGACTGGCTCTGCTGTCTCATGGGGAGCAGCAGGAAAGAGGCTCATTCAGTTGGCTAGAGGGTGAGTTCTATCCAGCCATTCACCAACCCCCTCCCCGCCGCCACACACGCACACACACACACACACACACACACACACCAGCTCTCTACATGGTTCTCTTAAATCCTGGAGAGCTTACAGGATAATGAGTGTTGCTGGCAAATAATGGCTGTTTTCAGGCAGAAGTTTGCCCCCAAAGCCATCTCACAGTGCTGGCAACCTGCCCCTTGAATGCCCTGTCCTTGGTCCACTCCCTGCTGTCCATGGTGGTGTTAAATATCACTGCCCAGGGCTGTGGGTGAGTTCCCTATCTGGCCCCTGCCCATAATTCCCACTTGCTATCTGGATGCCAGGAGGATGGACATGCAGCAGCCGTGACAAAGGACTAGAGTCCAGGGTGGTGGTGGTGTCTTCTAATGTGAAACTTGTTTTCGTTTATCATTTTCATTATTATTATTTTTAAGTGTTTTATCAATGTAATATAGGCCAATATAATATAGGTCACAGAGCCCTGCAAGTATTAGCACCTCCTCACTTGCCAGCCCCTACGGCCCTGCTAACCCATTTTAGATGTTACCCTCCAAAATGTAAGATAACACATTTGATTTAAGCCACTAAGTTGGTGGTAATTTGTTACAACAGCAATAGGAAACTAATGCAATAATTGATACTAAGATAGTCATTACATTAATAGTGTCAAACACTCATATTACACTTCATTATGTACCAAGCATTTTGCAAAGGTGTCTCCCTAACTAAATTACAGATTTCTTAAGGGTATGAACTGCCTTTTCTTCTTCTCTTGGACCCTAATGTTGCCTAACATCGCTCTAGGAACTTAGAAAAGGAGGAGGAAATAAAAGAAGGAAAAGAGCAATGTTTATTCAGTATACACTACTAGTGTAGATGCTTTTTCTCATTAAATCTTCACATTGAAAGAAAAAAAGAGAGAGAGGGAGGGAAGGAGGGAGAGGGAGAGAGAGAGAGAGAGAGAAAGAAAGAAAGAAAGAAACCTCTCTATTTTATAAGTTCAACGTTTTATAAGCCCTCATGTTTCCCTTGTTTATTTCCCTTTGGGCTTTGCGGGTTGTCAGTAAAGTTTCATTTGAAAACCCTGCGAAGCGTCCTTTAAGCCAAGGGAAACAGCGAGGGAGCCACTCTGCCTGTGCTTAGCCAGAGAGAAGGAAGAGTCGGGGCACGTGGGTTGGGAATGGGGCTCTGAGCCAAGGGAACTGGTGCAAGGCCAGGCTCTACAACCTGCTGCCTCCAAGACCTTGAGCAAGTTACTTACATTCCCCAAAGCTAAGTCTCCTCCTCTGTCAAACTCATGCAACCATTCACGCCACAAATATCTCCTGAGTTCTGTCTATGTGCCAGGCACTGTCCCTGACCTTAGAGATGCAGCGATGAACCGGAGGCAAAAGTC